GAGCGTGCTGCTCCGACCGGCTTTAAAGGGTTAAAAACTCACTGTGTAAATGTTGAGTTCTGTCACACTTAGACCAATGTAACCTGAAGAGCAACATGCTAACAAGAGCTCGCGTGTTCATGGCAGATGCCCCAGAAACCACCTGAAGAAACATGTTCATTAACCCTTCCCTAATGCACAAACACACTCATAGTATTCTTCCTGTCAGATTAACATTAACTGTACACCTTTGTTTCAGCCCACTCACCATTCAGGATCCACCGGTGTGATGTCTATCCTGGGAGGAGCTCCGAACGGCAGGGACGTCGGCCTCGTCATGATCTCTCCGTCAGGCGTCCGCGACCTCTCCCCCTGACGCCACGACAGCGGGGGCAGCTGCAGGTTGCCCGAGAAACGCCGTCGTCCTCGGCGCAGGTCGACTCCAAGAGTGCAGGAAGGGGAAGTGAAAGACTCACTGAGGCAGCAGTCCGGAGGCTCTTTGCTGTCCTGAGAAGAGAAAGAAAGAAAAACAATTAAATTAAAGAAAGAAAAACATCTAAAAATACAGATTTAAAAAATTAAAGCAAGATAAAACATTTTCTCCACTAAAAAGATAAACAGAGCAAAAAGAAATTAAACTTTATCACCAACCCACAAACCTGTTCTCGCCAGTTCATCACATGTTCGCCCACTAAGTGGCGCCATAGCCTTGTTTTTGACTAAAACTCAACTCTATTACCATACAGTGGATCGGTGACCTGATGCAGCGTCTGCTTTCTAAGAAAGAAATAAGTATCACAAACAAAAAAAGCTCGACTGTTTAAAAAGAGTGACAAACGTGTCAGTTTTCATATTTCTAATACTCACGTACATTTAAAACAAGATCAACGCAGCTGTTTATTCTGTTTCACTCATTCCTCCTCTGAAGCTTCAGCTCATCCACTTTATTTACAGACATCATTTGTCTTATTACTGTAGCGTACGCCGTCTGTAGTGAACTGATTGCACGGCATGTAAACCATGTTTGTGTCTCAGCTGGTAACTAAGTAACTAAGTAATTAATTACTTTTGA